ACTTATCTACAAAATACCTAAAGTCCCTACAGCCCTGTAAAAAACTTGGACCAAAATATATAGGGCCTTTTCCAATTAAAAGAATCATAAACCCAGTAACAGTAGAATTAGAATTACCCAAAAATCTCAGGCAAATACACCCAATTTTTCATTGCAGCTTGCTGAAAAGAGAGCGTCAATCATCGTTACGGCCAAAAATACCACCACCACCACCTCCAATCATGGTGGAAGGCGAACAACACTTCGAAATAAAAGAAATCCTTGACTCTAGGAGATATCATGGAACAACTCAGTATCTAGTTGCCTGGAAACACCTCCCTGCCTCACAAAACGAGTGGGTCCATAAACATCACATCAGAGCCCAGAAGCTATTAAAGAAGTTTCACACAGAGTATCCTAACAAACCTGACTAACTTTTATACCTGTTTTGTTCTTTTTCAGGTGGATCTATCTTATTTTTGAGGGGGCAGGATGTCAGAATCCAAAAATATTCCATCTCTAGTTATCAACTATGAAACCCTGCATTTCTGTCTGCTCTGGATTCTGTCATACGATGAAGGGAAGGGGGTGAACAAAGGGGCTTTATGGCCCTCATTTCCTTCAGCCTACTTCAAAGGGACTGAATGTGGATATTACCAAATGGACTAACAATAACAATGGGGGTCATTAGCTTTCATGTAATCCTTTTTGAAATTCCTCCCGTCAATGAGGAAAAGGGGGTGAGAATGTAAGGCCTAGAATTGTCACTGGGAAAAGGGGGTTACGGGGGTGTGACTAATGGGGGATCCCTTAAAACCTTGAAGTGGAGAGCTCAAACCCAAGTCCTGTCTAGAACGCCTACATCCAGCTTTCTCTTAATAAAGATGCCTGTTGGAAGAAATATTCCAGGAGTTCTGTCTTCTTAAGATGCAAAGTGGGGTGGGTCCTTACACATACTTCCTACCAGAAAATGTTTCCTTGTGGTGGAGATATTCTACTAAGAAGGTCTTTGCCCTTGTCACTGTCTGGCAAGCCAGATGGTCCCTGTGGACCAAAGCAGAGAATCGAACTGATCATAGAGCATAGTTTGCCTAGCATTGGGAGAGACGGCATGAAATGTGTAGGTGAAGAGCTTGATAGTCCTCGACATGCAACTGGAATGAAGCCTGCCCATTAGGGTTGATAGTCCATGGATGGTCGTAAAAAGGATAGTTCACATGACCAACACAGTTTATAAACTTTTGTGCGATGGTCATTAAGCAAACATGAGGGTTGTAAAATGAACGCTGTGGTCATTAAGCAAATCCATTGTTCGCTATGGTGTAATTTTGCCAAAATCTGAAACTGCCGGTTTTCAGCAAAACCATTACAAAACATAGTTATGTAACCACAGGACACTGAAAACTACCATAAATACAGCTAGGCAACCGAAATTTGGTCACGTGACTGTGGAGGGGCCCCATCATCAGAACTTTGACTCTAGGTCATAAGTAGCCCTAAGGTAGGTCCATCGTAATTTCAAACAGTCATTAGGCAACTGGTCATAAGTCAAGGACTATTCAGAGACTGTAGATTGACACCAATCTTAAACTGACCCTGAGGGGCAGCCAGCCTCACAGAGCAACTAGAGAGCTACATTCTGCTCAGTGGCATCTTCCAGACTGTGAGAATAATCCCAAAGCTGAGCCTGTTACAGGATGGAGTATTAAAACTAGAGTCTTCCAGTCCAGGGAGATTAATGTTTAAGATTAACAGCATTATTTACTTATTTTAATATTCTTTGTATGCTACCCCCATCAGAGACTCTGGTGGCTCACCAACACATAATGCATAATAAATCCACAAAGTCATAATCAACAGCAAACATAATAATCAGAGATCATATATAGAAACCATGATCTTTGCTACCCCAAAGTGTCAACAAAAAACAAAAAGGATTGTTTTTACTATGTCCTAAATGGCAGCAAGGTTGTGCTAACCTGGGGCGGGGGGGGGGGGGGGGGGAGTATATTCCATGTAGAGTCAGGGTAGACTTGGAAAAGGCTTTTCTCTGCATTCCTGACTCTTTTTTAAATTTTTATTAATTTTTTCAAATAAACATGAACAAATAATACAAATATGGTGCATTTCATTAGAAAAACAAACACATAAAAAGCCTACTCATTAGGTATTCAGAAATAATCGGTGTTTCCCCCCCCCCCGCATCCACACTCCCTCCACCTTCCTACCTACTTCCCTCTTCCTCCCCCTCTTAACCACTACCTCTCCTCTTTCCTCCTTCCCAACTATCCTACACATCCCATCACCTTCTTTTCCACCACCTCGGATGCAGTTTAGGNGCCGATCATCTCCTCTTCTTAAAGACAAACATTTACATTACATTTATAAATACACCAAAAAATTTTTATAATTCTACCCCTTCATCCCCTTCCCCCCCCCCCCCCCCCGGACTTCCCAGAACTGAGTACAGGGATAAATACATAACATCCCAAGTCTAAATTAAGCTATCCATTCATAATACAAACAAAATTAACATACGTTAACTCTAACATACAGTAATAAACTTAAATATAATATATATATATATAAATTATATTAAATATATAGAAAATATTAGACAATTTTTTTTATCGTTCCTGACTCTTAAACCATGTGAGGAAGTGAAACCAAAAGCATGGCATTCCCAGTTAGAGCTTAACAGACAGGATAGGTTCTACTCAGAGCAAACAATCCTGCAGAAACTGAGGACCTAAGCTATAAATAGCTTTATAAGGGATGATTAGTACTGCAAATGTGCCCCAAACCCCTTTGGAAACTGATGCTGCTCTTGAAAACTAGGTATTGGTCAATTAAACCAGGTTTAGTCATTTAATACCAACTTCAAGCATCATCCGCAAGATCACCAGGGCAGAGGATCTCCAGGAACAGCCTTATCCAGATTACCAGCTATGAAGTTGGGCAAAGCTTCTACCCATGGCTTTCACTTGTTGCAGGAGTGGTTAGCTCAGGGATCCTCTACTCTAGATCTTGGATCAGTCTCTGGGGAAGTGCAAACCCATCAGGAACAAAAGATGGTGTTATCCCTGGATCCAGGTGATTCTAGCTACTCTTATCTTGCTAGGATTAAATGTAAGGAACTTTTGTCCAGTCCAGCTTCCCATAGCCTAAAGAATTGAGGCATCCATGGTATCTCCTGCCCAGTCCTGGGTATCATCTCCTCATTGGTGATACTTCATCCAGAACTGACTGATGACCTCTCCCAATGGTTTTGTGCAGATCAGACATGTCAAACCCAAGGCCCGAGGGCCGGATGCGGCCCGCGAAATGGTTTCATGTGGCCCGTGAAGCCATCCTGGAAACAGTGAGGGAACGGCCCCCGCTGCCTTGGCCCTGGCCCAGACCGGCCGGGAGCCAATGTACAATTTTGTGGTAGCCATCTATGCTGAAACGCATTCAGTCTTAGCTCCACAAGGCCGTCTAGAAACAGCGAGGAACCAGCCCCTGCCGCATCGGCCCTGCCCCCTGGGTGCATGCTGGGGAGATGTCATCCTTTGTGAGGAATGAAGAAATGGACCATGCCTTGGCGCTTGCCCCGGTCGCACCCCCTTCTGCCAGAGACCCTCAGATCTGTCCCACTCCTGCCCAGGTCCCCACAGGCACCCTTGACGCGAATGATGTAGAGCTGGCCATGCCCACCCAGTAGACCACACCCACTCCATCCATGCCCACCCAGTAGGCCACACCCACCTGACCACACCCACCCGGCCCCCCAAGGGCAACCACAATGCTGATGCGGCCCTCAATGAAATTGGGTTTGACACCCCTGGTGTAGATGTTAAGTAGGATGGGGGAGAGGCCCAAATCCTGAGACAACTCACACATAGGCTCATGATACATGCTACATAGTCTTTTACTTAAAAAGTGATTTTAGAAACTGTTGTGCTGCAAAGCAAAGCATCAACCCCTAGTATCATGTCATAATTCTTTGCAGAAATGCCTATGGGCCCCAGAAATATAACATTGGAGTGTTTGAGACTATTCTGGGGTCCAGCTTAGCTTCTTGTCAACTTGTTTGTAACTGACCATTGCCCGTTGTGGCTACCATTTTGTGAATAAGAAAGTCTCCTATAGTGTTATCTAAAGCAACAGCAATTGGGGTATTGTGAATAATCCTCCTATCTCAATTATTGTTTAGTCCTTTTTCCTTGCTTGTTTTCTAGAAGATGCAAGAGATGGATGAAAGACGGACGCGGCGTCTCAAGGGGGGCTATCACATCTTTTCAGAGATAGAACAGCAGGTCATGCCGATCATTGGCAAATGCCTGGAAGGCATGAAGGCAGCTGCAGAGGTGGTTGATGAAAAAAATGTAGGTGTCTGAAGATCTCTTATTCCTTCACTGTATGGTAGAGGCTGAAAAGAGTGTGGATTTTCTGTTAACCCCAAACCTTTCCAGCAATGGCACCTAAGATCCTTTGCCTGGGGAAGTTGGGGTTTTGTTTTGTTTTGTTTTTGCTGGCAAATATGTTTTCTGCCTTTGAACTATGGTTGTGCTCAAAAACAGTCCTGTTCCTGACACTGTGGACGGGCACCAGGAAGGGATAACTTATTTTGTTTAATTAAAAGGTATTCGATTTCTTCAACATTACATTTGTTCTTTGACCTTGAGAAGATACATTTAAGCTGCTCTTAAGACTGCATTACTGAAATGGTGCTCTTGGATCCCATCCTTGGTCAATATGGAGTTTTGCTACTAATCTCTATTGTAGGCTCAGTTGGAGTTGGGTTGACAGTTTTCCTGTTTTATTTCAAAAGGATGCTTTTCTTCTGTTAGGACTCGCAAATGTTAATTGAACTGCACAAATCAGGTTTTGAAAGGCCGGGAGACATGGATTTTGAAGACTTCAGCCAACCCATGAACCGCACCTCTTCTGATAGCAGCCTGGGCACTCCCCGGGGCACACTTGACGGCTGGCTGGATCCCCGACTGCTGGGCAAGAACAAGGGAAAGCGCTGGCTCTTCAGCAGGAAGAATAAGGTGAGAATTGTTATAGAGGGCTGGCAGCATCCTGAAGGTAATTGAGAACAATTGGTCTTCTATCATCCGTCTCTTAATATCTCCCGGATTCACAGATCAGCAGTATCTGAGGGCAGGGATACAGGAAAGGAAGAGGATAATCAGAGTGGTGGCATGTTTGAATATTACTCTGAAATCCTATTGCATTTAATTGTCCCTGCCTTTCAGGCTGCTGGCCTACCACAACAGATCTCTCAGCTGAAAAGTGCTATCCTATGGAAGTCTGCAAGTTACCATACTAGCACTCATTGCCACTTCCATTCATTCTTTGGCTGACTTCTTTCTTCTTTCTGGCTGTTCTCACTAGTCCTCATGAAAGAGCTTCCTTCTCTGACTTTCTAAGTCAAATCAATGCTGCTCGGGAAAATCTGGGGCCAAGATAGAGTTTGGCCACTATATCTGCTGCTGGAGGGCCTTAGCTAGAACATCCCTTCCTCTCTCTCCGCCACTGGATCTCATCAGCCTTCTATTGCTCAAGGCCCTCCCACTGTGGAGGCCTTGGAAGTCTGCCCTAGAACGGCCTATTCCAAGAAGCCATTCCCAGCTGCCCCTGTCTTTTTCCTGTAGTCCCTAGATGACCCCGTGGGCTTGTGTGCTGGAGATGATGAGGGCTGCTTCAGCGAGCTCTCATTTTGTTTCCTACTAATTTTCCCCAGAGGTTCTTTCATAGCCTTTGCAAGGACACTATTTCAGCTGGCCTGTGTTAGCAAAGGCCTCCTTTTTCCATCCATCCATACAGGGCCCCTTTATCCCACTTGCCATGGCCATCTAGAGAGTCCTGAACTCTCTTGCCTTATATCTTGAACTGAATGTGTTCTCCCACCCCACCCCACCCATCATTTTATTCTCAGTGCGAATGTTCTCTTAGTCACATCCACCCTGTTAATCTTGCAGTGCAGATGCTGCACAAAAGCTGAGCTCCACGGCCTTTGCTCGCATCTATAGTTGGCCTCTACTTTGCCCTCATCTCTGTTTTCCTACTGCATAATTTCTTCCATGTCCTCTGTATTGCCTCCTTGCCTCTGTGCATATGTGAACTTCACTGCTCTTTTCCCTTGACTATTCATGAATGACTTCAGGACAGGAAAGGCAAAATGAATTCATTGAGCCTGCAAGAGAGACCTGGAGGGTGGTGCAGTAGGGATTCCTTTCACTTTCTAGACTAATTCCTGTGGTTCAGAACAACCCGTTTATAACAACCCAAACCACTTTCTCTTTCCCTAATAAACTATATGAGAGAACACTTGCATTCCTTAACTTGCAAGTAAACATTAAGTAAAGGTTTGCCTTTTTAGTGTGTATATAATTACCAAAGCTGGACAAACATTATAATTGATAAAGCTTTATATTATTAAACATGAGTCCTTTTTGGTTGCCTAAACAACCTTAAGTCAGTACGTATTGTCTTTCCTGTAGTAGAGAAGTGAGTGGAGAGGAAGCAGCCTTGCCTAAGACAAATTTGACCAGTTCAAAAGTCAGGTGAGATTTGATCGGTCTCATCCTGCTAATATAACTCAATGCTACTTGGGTTGTTATCACCTACTTAGGGCATTTTAACGTGTCAGCAGTGCTTCAAGAGATTTTAAAGCAAAATGAACAAGTTCTGAGTTGAACAGGCATTTCTACATCTGTATCGTCTTTAGTTGGCTGCACCAAAGATGGATCTGTACTGACCTTGGAGAGAAGATAGATGGTTGGGTAGATAACCAGTAAGCACTTTCCAGATGTGTGGATTTCAACTCTCAGAATTCCTCACATTGGTGAATCTCTTATCCCTCCCTGTGAATCATTCTATGAAAAGGCAACAATGTGCTTCTGAGCGCCTGAAGCTGCTCGTCCAGCACCCCTCTGCAACTCCTCAAAGCACTGTGCTTTTTAAATGGCGTTGAGCACAGCAGCACAATCCTAGGAAAAGACCCAAGACCTTGAAGGAGTGAGAAGGGTTAAAGGGCATGCTCTGAAGTGCTGCGCAGGGGTAACCTCTGGGCTCTCCTCAAAGGCTTTCCTCCCTCTTTGGCTGCTAACATTGGACCTCTTCTCTTCCATCAATAACTTTGAAGTTTAAGACCAGCTTAGCCCTCCCACATAACAGATCTTGAGAGCCAGATTGTCAGACTGGGGATGGAGGGGAAGGGGGCGGAGAGGGAGGGAGGGAGGGAAGGAACTTTGCTATGTTGCTCTGCGATATGCCAGTGCCAAGTTCAGCTCTGCATCTTGCCACCCTCCTCATCTTTTTTCATTTGCTCCCTGGGGGCCGGGTGTTTCTGTGCCTCGTGTGCTCTTGTCTCTTCCATATATATATGGAATGCACTGTAGTTTTTCTGGTGGCGGGATTTTTTTTGTATGTGTGCCTTTTTATTTTCTTACAACATATTTTTCCCATCCTTTTGTGTGTGTTTTTTTCTTTGTTTCTTGTTCATGGCCCTTATCTGTCGCTAGCTCCCAACCCCTCCCCTCTCCCCTATAAATTGCCCTTCCTCTTCATCTTCCCCCTCCTCCTCTGCCATCAATGGACCTCCATCCCCCAAATTCACCCGTGACCCTCTGTCTTACTGTTTGAACGAGATCAATAAGACAGTCAAACCCCGCATCACGTCCTTCCGCAGCCTCAAACGGGGGGTAAGTGGATAACTTTGTTTGCTTAAATCACTTGTCATATGTCTGCTGCTGCTGCCATCGCCACCACCACCACCAAAGGCACCTGCCAGGTAGAAAACCTGTTGTGGTTTATGTGCTGATAAAATGAAAATGCATACACACACTAGATCCTAGCCCTCTGCTGTTTCTTTTGAAGCAATAATTACTCAGTTCAGTGAATATGAAAAAAAGGACATTCAGTTTCCTTTTTGTTAAGTTTTACATTGGTAAGGCATAACTAAACCAAGACTTTGACCAATTGTCTTTAGAAATTATAAAAGGATGACAAAGCAAAAGAGAAAGCAAGGGGCAGAGTACATAAGAGCTCTGCTGGATCAGAACAAGGGCTCATATCCAAACATCTTGCTCCATAGCGTAAGCAGTGAGGACATTACAAGTATGGAAAGGAAAGCTCTTTACTACTGGCGTTCCCCAACAGCCTAATACTCAAGGCATGAGATTCTGGAGGTAGTAAGCAGCCTCAAAGTCACTGATGGTCTGATCACATATGAATTTGTCTAATCCCATTTTTAAAATGATATATTGGTGGCTATAGCCATGTTTGACGGTAGCAAATTCCTCATTTTAATTGTGTTATGTAAAAAAAAAGTCCTTCCTTTGATTACTTATGAGTCTCCCAAAAGTTTGTTTTAGCAGATGACCTCCTGATCCAACTTTATAAAAATCAAAGAGAAAAATGACTATTCACGTTTTCCATACCATGTGTGTTTTTACATCTCTATGACATTGCCACTTCCCCGCCCCAGTCTAAAAAAGCCAAATTGTTGTAGCTGTCACTTTGGTTGCACTTCTTGCACCTGTTTCCTGAACCTTACTTAGGTGCTACTTCTCTTTTTCTTCACCTGCCCATGAATGCCATAGACGGTGATGGTGGGAGAATGGTGGACTAAACCCATTGAGTACAAAAGGTGGTCAAATGACCCCTTAAGAAAGTCCCTGCCTGAGAATTGAATTATCTGTTCTGCTTCCCTTCCTTTTTTTTTTCTTTACACAAATTGGGAATAGTCCCTACTTCAGTAAAGAAGACTTCTACTGATTTTGATTTTAATTATATTGATATTACTGTTAACGTTTTATATTTTGTTTTATTGCTGTAACCTGCTTTGAGTACTTAATGTAGACAAATTTATTTATTCATGTCAGAAGCATTGTTATTAAAATTTTATGTGTAGATATAAGTACAAGAACATAGAATTTAAAATGTGTAAAAAAAGCATCTTAGCAGATATAGGCAAAGAGATTGGGAATTAATTGACTGTGTTCCTGTAATTTTGCACACATGCACATGCTTGGAGTTATTCATGGTTAATATTTTAATACTACTCTTCCAACGGTCCATGTCCTATCCAGTTCAGTGTGTAACTACAGGAAAATACTGCTTAGTTGCTCCAATTCTCAGGGAACTGTGGGCTCATGTTCCCTAAATGTTTGATGACTTTTGAAAATACCTTAAAATTGCAGCTTTTTCAGCAGGTTTTTAGTTGTTTAATTCACTTTCAATGTTTTTGGGTTTAATTTGAAGTTTAACTCTTGATTTAACTTGTTATTGTAAAAAACTCCTTGATAGTCAGTAGTATAAATAATTAAATATCAGCAAGGAGAATGTAAGGAATAAGCCACAATCATTTTTGGTTCACATACCACATGAGGCTGGATTCCTTCATTGTACTAAGCCACAATGTAGCTTCTTTAGTTTTGATGTACTGTGATGTGATGTGTGAGCTCACTCACTGGGGCCTCATTATTTTGCCAATGGATCAATCACCTGACCTCAGCATAGATCTCCCAGCTACTTTTAATTCCATTGGAGAACTAAATACCACAATCAACAGGTTTATTATATGTATCACTGAAATAAAGCCACAAATAGCTTTATACTAACCTTCCGCACTGTTGTATCAGCGTTTCAGCTCTATCCCTAGCCTTTGAAATTCTGGATCTTGAAACCCCAAAACATTGTGGGAAAGGGGATGGTTCAGTGTCTAAAAGCATTATTTATTTGAAGATGGTTCCCAGCTGTATAATCAGAGCTAAACATCCACCATATGGTGCAACAGGATTCTGGGGCTATAGGGAATCATTGCCTACAGCCTGTTAGTCGCCTGTCTTGAGTCTTGGCAATGGAAGATGACGTTTCTCAGGTAGAGCACTTAGATACAGCCTATGGGAGAAAAGTTGGTTTTGCGGACAGAGGAGAAGCATCTGGGGGGGAAAAATGATATGTGTCTTTTCCTACTGCCAGACTGTGATCACAGAAGATTTTAGCCATCTGCCTCCAGAGCAAAGGAGAAAAAAATTACAACAGAAGATTGAAGAAAAAAGCCGGGAGTTGCAAAAAGAGCTGGATCAAAGGTCAGAGTCAGAGCATTCTGTTACTTGTCCTTCCTGTGATCTAAGCAGACCACAAAGAGAAGAAACTAACTTTTTCCAAATGAAAAAAATTCTGAGATTTCAGAAAATTGGCTCTTTCAAGCTCCATGATTAATATTGATTTGAATATCCCTGACATTCAACATGTTCTAGCTACCCAGCCTTCATTGAAGGAAAATGTATCACTTTGGTCCTTTCCTATTTGAAGATTTTGCAGTTTGCTTTACAATAAGGACCTTTTTAGCTATTAGTCTTGCCTAACATAAAGCAGGAGTCAGTGATATGGAAGGTGCACACACATTTGTGTTATTATTTTACTTTTGGGCAGGGTCAGTTCCAGGGTGCAAAGCATTTGCAGCTGTTTTGAGTCTCCGCAAAGCCTCCCCTACAGTACTCCTGCCGCCTCTCTCCCTGGTCCTGCCTCCTGCCCACCATCCAAAGGTCTCCTGCCTGCCAGAACTCTGTCAGCCTCCTGGACAGCATCTGCTCCATTTGTGGCTGAGCTGGCAACAGCAAATGTCCCATGAGATCAAGCAGGCAGGGGAAGAGGAGGAGATGAGGACAGCTGAGTGACAAGGACAGTGGCTGCTGCAGCATCTGAAAGGAAAAAAAACCACTAGGCTCTAAGAACTGATCTTCACTATGAGATGTACAAGATGTGCACTCTGCTTCTGCCTGTCTCCTTGGTCGTGCTTTCTGCATCTCCTTTCCCAGGATCTTTGTAGGTTAAGTTGGACTTAACTTTGTAGGAAACTTCAAGACTAGGCCAAGATCTGCGATCCAGTCCAACAAAGAGATACCGAAATCTCTAACTTGACTGAGTTTTTGCTACTAAGCCCTAGTAAAAACCAAAACAGCCCATGTGGTGGAGGTGGGTAGGAAGGGCAAGAAGGTTAGATGAGCATGTTTGAGAGAAAAGTATGAATGTCCGGGGATAAGGGTGGAACAAAGAATCAAAGTTGTATATGCCAGAGAAAAGTATGTAATGTCAAGGGAGAGGTGCTGTACATCATTTGGCCCAGAATCCCACAAGTAATATTTGCTGCAAATGGCACTCGGTCAGCTTCTCCAACAATAGATTTCTTTGGGCAAAAAAACCAAAGACTAGAAAGGATGACCTTTGTTACATTCTGGATCCCTGTGATGTAGACTTCAGCCACAAAGGAAAAGGTACACTTCAAAATTTTGCAGGACAACAGAAAGGTCTAGTTGGTGCCAAGAAAAAAATACAAGTATTTTAGTTAGTATGTTAAGTGTTATGGTATAGGTTGGGTCAGGTTGAGTCCTTAACATACATTATTCCTTACATGACTTGACCACCAGGAGGCAGTGTACGACTAGTTTCATCCTTAAAATTCAGTGTATTTTGAGCTAATAAAGAAATCTCCATTTTCGTTTTGGTAGTGTTCTTCTTTCTTAAGATTACTTTCTTGCAAGTTTTAATGGCTTTTCTAATCCTGTGTCTATCCCACATTTGGGTGATGTAGAGTCAATATCCAGCTAGGCCATCATGGTCCGGCTGGCCAGACCGAACCCCCTCTTCCCCCATTAGAAGTAAGAAGGGTATTAACAAAGGCAACAGTAGCAGGCTGGACATTCCCCTCTTTACACCACACATACATTCCATTAGTTGCCCATTTCCCAGGGGAAAGCGAGAAGTAGCAAAGAGTAGGAGTTTAGTATGTATTTTTCAGAAATCCATCTGCACTGTTAATTTGGGTGTTGCAATGGACCTCTGCCCTGGTTTATAAATTCATGCTTAATTATGCTATGGCTTTTTTTACCATTTGTACACTGTTTAACATGGATTTTTTTAATAAACTTTATTGGTTTTTAAAACATAAATCACATAATAAATCACACAATAGTTGATTAACAGTGTGTTTGCCTGGCTTACATTTACAAAGGAAAATCGTCAACAATTAATATCTATAATCCATAACCCACGTATTCACACAAATGTTTCTTTTTTCTTTTTTTCCCCATAGATATTCTCTCTGATAGTTCCCATCATCAATATTCTTAATTTTCACTTTAATATTTAAATATTTTCCCTTTAATCAGTATCATGCTTAATCAATGTGTTTCGCTGAATCGGAGCATTTTTCCCTCTATTTTTCCCCAACCAATCATACAATTTGTTTCAGATTTCGTAATAATCTGTTTCACTCTTATCTTTAAGTTCTAAAGTTTAACATGTTATTGTCCTATTAGGACAATATTTTCAGGGTTTTTCTTTTATTAATTTATTTCCCAAAGTTTATAAGCTGCTGAAAATCATAACATTAATAAACCCAATAAATAGTAACTACTTAAAATAATAAATCAATCCATTGTTGTGAGGAGCAAATTTGATTTCCGTCTTAGAGGATTCCATTTCCCAAAACATCCTCTGGGGAGGAGCAGGCTGACCAGCGAAAGAGAGCTGTTCCTGAGAAACTCCCAGCTCCCCAGATTTTTTTCAGGGTGGGTACCCAGAATATCCTCTCCATAATTAAATCATGTAGGTACCCCAGAGAGTAATCCAGCAAGGGCTTCATAGGTAAGCACCAGTTTACCTATGAATTGAAACTGAACACCTTCTGGCAACTTGTGCAAATCTCAAAGAACAGATGCTGTTATGCTAAGCCAGTTAATTTGGATCAGCAAGCAAGCAAGCCACTGCTCCAGCTGTAGCTTCTGAGTTTAAAGGGCACTTTTCTGTCCCACTATGGTTGTAGATAGTTTACTAATTCTAGGATGTTCTGTTAATTCATAAACAGAATTAACTGCTGATTATCACTGCAATTATTTTCACACATACAGCATTTATTGTAATTGTTGTGCTTTGTAACTTTCCACATTTAATTTTGCCAGTTGGTACAGCTTTTAACATTTAGGATAACTCATAATGAAACTGAAGAAATGTACTGAAGTTTACAAAACCTCGATCAATATGTTTAAAGTATAGAAAGATTTTTGAATGGTAGAAATAGTCAGCTACCTTTATAGCAAAAAAAAAAAATATCTTTTGGCCTATGGATGAGGGGGGAGAGGTTGGACAGACCATATCTGGTGGTGTTGGGCAAATCAAACTAACAAGGCAATTAGCAATATTTAATTGTTTATTAATACTAATTGTATTAACTAAGGTTTGCTTTGTTCCAAATATCTTGAGTTTTGATTGCCCTTTCTTTTGCATCTACATTGCAGTAACTTCTCTCAATAACCATGTTTGCTCCCTTTCTTGTTTCAGGGATGCCTTAAATAAGATGAAGGATGTTTACCAAAAGACACCACAGATGGGAGACCCCAACAGCTTGGAGCCAAAGATCTCAGAGACACTAAGCAATATTGAAAGGTTGCGTCTAGAGATTCAGAAATGTGAAGTAAGGACTTAGAAGGGGAGGCCATGCATCTGATTGCATTCAAAATAATTGTTCATTTCACTAACTTTTGAAAAAACATTTCAAGGGCAACTTTTAGAGGGTTTCTGAGAGCATTCCCAAGATTTTGGAAAGTTGCACGTGTTCTGAAATTGCTGCTGCATTACAAGTAACCTTGTTGAACAGGACAGTAGTTAACATTGAATCATGGATTGAGCAAGGGGGGAGCAGAAGCAGAAGTTTGACTGGCCTGCTGAGTCATAGTTAATCAAAGGTTTTGAACTGGGCGGGGTCCAGAGGAGAATGGGGTCAAGCCCTTATTAAGGAGGTAGAGCTTCCATGGTGACACTTTTGTCATTCTGCACAGGTCAGAGGGGCCTCTCAGTCAGATACAATGATTTCTCTTGAGAAACTGCTTGAGGTTTGCCAGTTACCAGGAGCCAGTGCTGGATTGTAGCTCTAGACGTCTTAGCTCACAGGGGCTTCGTGTGCCTGGTCAGAGCAGTAATTAAAGCTTCTCAAGTGCCAAGGACTCTGCCATTGGTTTGCAGGAGATTTGCAGAAGGGAACTTTCCAGTAGGTTGTGCTCGGCAGTGACCATGAGGAACTTGGTACCCTTTTCAGTTTTCTCTCCCAAGTGCTCCTCATGAGTCCATGTTGCCCTGGATGGCGCTTGGCAAAGCCTGCTCAGAACAAGGATGATGTAAACCTGGGGAGAGTCTTTATGCCTCCTTTGGAGCATCATAAAGCAGGCTTGGCAATCCATTAGCCAATGTTCTGCCTTTTGGAGTTACATTAGCAGAACCACGTTCACATGGTTGAGGCCCCGTTGCTGGCAAAAAGCGCAGGAGACAAAACCCTCTGCTGGGAAGCCATAATCCATGCCCACCTTTTGGCCTCTCTATAGGCTTGGCTGACAGATGCCGAGAGCAGGATGCTGAGCAACCGCCCTGACACGGTTACCCGCTATAACCGCCACTTGGATCCTGCCAGTGCCCTGAACAACAACAACTGCTCACATGAAAAAGACAGGTGAGAGCAAGCAAAGAAGAACCACTACCACCACCACCACCAGGCATTAGAGCTCTTTGAGGTTCTGGGCATCTTTCCTAAGGTGAGGCCGAGACATTTGCACTGTGGAGTTCTTAGCTACAGTGGTTCCTCAGGACTAATCCTGGAGAGTGTGGTCCTGATCTGCAGGATTCCTAGGTCTTTCCTGAGGATCCTGCCAGTTGCTCCTCCTCGAGCAATCCTGTGTTTTCACTGAAGTTAAACTGGAATTGGAGGTTTGAGGTCACTTTTTTTTTCCTTCCACAAAAAACTGGAGACAGTTTTTTTTTTCCCTGACAAAATTTTTATCTATGAAAACAGATAGTCCTCTTTAGCAACCGCAATAGGGAACAGCAACTTGGCTGTTATGCAAAATGGTCAACAAAGTGAGACTCATATGACCATAACATACGATTTTACCTCGTGTTTCCTATGCTTTACACAACCAGAAGGATACACCTTTCAAATAATTAGGAAGAGAATTGATATTTGCATTTACATTCATTGGAGAGGAGGGGATTACAAGAAAGCAAGCACACAGTGGAGAATACACATGTAAAGGAATGTGTTATGTGCACTCTTAGTATAGGAGGCAAACAAAAGCCTCTAGAGTGAAACTGTTTAGGATCCTGTCAGTTTCAGGCAGCAGTTACCAGCCTTCTTGGGTTCTAATCCACTCACTCACCCACCCCCAGTAATTAAGTCAGAGAGCTCAGCTTGTTAACTTAGGGATGCGCTGTGTTAGGGAGAAAGATAGCTCAGGAAAAGATTGCTTCTTTAGACAATCTTTCAGCTCTGTGATGGGGAAGAAAAAAAGGAGGTCAGCTACACAGGACCAGTATTAACAGTGTAATGACAGGCACCTGACTGGGAGAGAGACACTGCAGAGATTGTAAATGTGGGCATTGACATTGCAAGAGCAAACACAGACTGTTGCTAAACAAGGACTACCTGTAGTGTAAAATGTCTTTGATGAGCCTGCACATAAAACAACCCCTACCAGGAGACAGCATAAAATATTGCTGAACTGAAGTTGGTTTGTTCTTTTAATACTCCTTAGAGTGCATATATTCACTCGTGATATCAAGAAAAAAATGAGAGATTGATAGTCCCATCAGGAAGGCCAGTTGAAGCTTTCTTACAAGAAGTAATATTTTATCTTCAGTCTGATGACATCAGATTAGCTTTTGCCCACATGTCCTCCTCTGACTTGTAATGCAACATAAATACCCGATACTTGGTTTTCTCCTTCTAGCCCTGACACTACTCATTCTAACGAGACCCAGGACACACTCAGCCAACCCATTTACACAGAGTTTGATGAAGACTTTGAAGAGGAATTGGCATCACCCATCGGAACCTGTGTGGCCATATATCAATTTGAAGGTAGCACCTTGGCAACCTTCTCCAGTTGCTGTGTTCATGTAGAATAGCTGAGACCAGAAGCAAACGTGTACCCTTTCTATTTGGCTAGCTTCACAAGGACTGCCTTGTGAAATACACACAGTAGAATGGGATGTATTCTTCTTCATTTCTGCAATTTTGCTTTTCTTGGGGAAGGAGATTAGATCTGTCACTTTTAGGCTTTTACACTCTGCCTCTCCTAGCATTATTTCCTAATCCTGCATTCCCCTTCTCCCCTCCCCCCCGCGATTGGTTCTGTACCAAAAGTAGATTTTAAAATCTGCAGTTCCTATTACTTATACAAAATAATTTGGCGTTACTTTAATTAATTATGTTTAGACACTGCCCGAGTCCAACTGACTCTGAGCAGAAATGCTTTTTAAAAAGAAAAAATTTGGGTTTTTAAAACCCAACCTTTCACTTGAGATGTGAGGTAACCATTCTGGCTGACATTCTTAGCCATGTACATATCTCACTTTTATGGGAGTTTAATGATAAGCAGGTTTCTGTTCAGAAGAGCAATCACAACTGACTTGTCCAAGCTTCAGCATGAAATAGCCCAAAGCCATTCACTAGTCTTGCCCAGACTATTTTTAATTGCACTGTTTTTACCACAAAGGATTGGGAAAATGCTTTTCAAAATGCTAATAATGAAAGCTTCCATCCTCAGAAGGCACAATTAGATGTGTGGGGGTTTGGTGTGTGTGTTATTTGTGCCATGGCATGCCTTCAGCATGTCAATAGTCCTTTTTCTCCAAAGAGCAATTGCTTTCTCCTAGTCTTAAGAACAGTGCTATGGAGGGAGCAGCCACTGACTAAAGTGTGTCTCTTGTTCCACTCTTGGGCCATAAAGGTGACAACAGCAAGGCCACAAAAGCAAGTGTGTTAAGTCTGTCTTAATGAACAAAACAGGGTGCAGTGTCCATTTGATTTCCCCCGCATCCTCTGTAAATGTATTTTTCCCATCCATTATAATAAGCAGCTCAGTAAACTGCCAGCTGCAGGGAAACAAGTTTTTTTTTTTTTGAGTGAAAAATTATCAATGCCTGAAATTTTGAATTAGACAAAAAGCTCTGCTTACTCTTTGAAGGGCTATGTAACTCCTTAGTGTAGTTCACATCCTGCTTTAAAGCCTTGGTACATCATTCACCCCCACCCCCTACCCTCAATTCTGCCCTGGCAACTGCTGCATACTCTGATGGTTTGAACAGTTTTGCCTCCCAGATATTCTTGGCTTCAGCTAATCAATGCCCTTGCTCGTTTGTTTGCTTCCCAAAGGTTCCAGTGAGGGCACCATCTCCATGCAGGAAGGTGAAGAGCTCAACTTGATGGAGGAAGACAAAGGGGATGGGTGGACACGTGTACGGAGGTGTAGTAAAGGGGGTGAGGGTTACGTCCCTACCTCCTATTTGCGACTGAATGTGAACTGAGTAAGGGACTGATAGCCAAGTTCCAAGAGCTGCACCAACAACAACGTCTGAATGGAAGAGGGGCGGAGTTTCAGTTGCCTGGAAACAGCTCCATGATGTTTGCTCTGGGTGAGCCGGCAAAAGAAGGAATTTGCACCAAATCACTACTGCAAGACAAGAACTGACTAGCAGAATAACAAAACGATGGCTGTAGCCAGCTGAAAGCAAGGCCTCTGGATGGGAGTACAAGAGGGGGTTGACTTCCAGCTAGTAATTGCTCCTCCTCTCCTCCATTATCTTCGTGGCAGACTTACAAAATATTCCATAGGAAAACCCTTCAGCCAAATTAGATAAAAACGTGCAATTCTGCATACAGGAAGATTCCCGAATTCGTGGCTCTGGTGACTGGTAGTTGCCCCATCAGATGAAATGTGGCCGCAATAGGGTGCAGAGCTGGCTGTCCCTCCTCTCTTTGCCAGGTTGGTCAGAGCAAAGGGCTCTCTCCACAGAAACGTTTCTGCTTTTATGCTGCATTCAGTCCAAACCTCAAGGGGATTGTAGGACCTTGAGGACTGGGGAGTGGGGGGGGGGAGTGGGGAGTGTCCATATTCAAGGATCAGACTGGGTTGGATTAGAAGCCTGGAATGTGTATCCTTAAGATTGCTGCTATGCCTGTTGTTTGACTAGAAGCAGAGAGGGGGGAGGATAGTTGCTGGGCATCCCAGTCACTCCCAGTGCTACTCCAATTAGATGCAAGTGTCCCCATAGCCTTCTTGTCTGAGGGCAGGCCGAAGACCACACCGGCGCCAGACCAACATCTCTATATTGTTTCCTTGAAATGCACTTTACAGTTTTCTTGGATTTGATTACCCTGGCTCCTTTCAGCCATTAAAAAGTGCCTGTGCCAGAGTCTTCGGGTTTGTTTCCCCCTTGGGAATACATTACACGAGAAGCAAAAGCAGGTGGCTCTGGCCTCTTCCTCTCCCGTTTCTGTTTGTTTTAAAGAAGATTCTAATGTATTCTCAGTTGTTTTATACAGTGACCAATTTATTTTTATCATTCAGTTTGACATGTTCACATAATCTGTAACGTAGCCTCAGCTCTCATCCCTCCAGCCTTGGAAGGAAGGGGCCAAAACATGCCCCTCCCTTCTCTCTTGAGACGCAGAATGTATTTCTGGGTGCCTTTTACACTTTATGTAAATAGTAGAGAGAAAATTGAGGGATACTTGTGCTACAGTTGCCCTTTTTTTGTCACTCTGGCCTCCAAGCGTGGACTTTTAACATCCGCAGCATTTACGTCACTATTTGGGAGCCAAAGGATGATCCTCCACCTTTCCAGTTGTACACAGTTCACCACTCCGCAAGTGAGAGCTGGAGGAAAAAGCGGGGGGCAAATGCCAGAGGAAGCTAAGGCAGCCAACAGGTCCTGTTCGCTGCTGCCTATCCGTAGAACAGCACAAAGTGGGGGCAGAGTGTAGAAGGTGAAGGAGAGAAAACAGGTTGGTTGTCTGACACTGGACCGGCACTATGGTTAGATCGGGGGGGGGGGAGGGGAGGGGAATATTTCCCCCACCTCCACTTGTGCTTACCCAGGCAGTGCCTCTGTGCAAATGTTCTTTGTAGATCTGGAGAGAGGCCTGAGTACTGTCCACTTGGATGGGGGGGGGGGGAAATGCCTTACTATGGAAGTAGCTGCTAGTATCTGCTGGTCAAATAAAAAACAAAGAACTGCACTGCATCAGACCAAAGACTCATCTAACCTTGTAGTCTCTACCCATGGAGGCCAAGTAAGTGACCCACAACAGTAGCAATACTTTTCTGTTATGTTCCTCACCAAAAAAAGACGTGATGTGGTTAAGCCACCTCATGATTCTTCAGTAAAGTTATCCAAGTTGATGGCCACCTCTGGATCATGGGAGAAAGCAGGATTCCACTGTGAATCCTGTTTGAAGTCTTTCCTTTGTCATGCCTAATTCTTCAGTGACTGACTTTGGGTGCTGGGATAAACTTTTTATGAACCTCCACTGGTATTATATTAAAAGGGATGCATATAAGCTTTCTCCCTGCTTGAGCTTCTCTCAAGGTCTTGTATACGTAAGGGAGAAAGACGTTCTTAAGACAACCTCTGTCAATAAAAGTACTTTTTCTCAAGTACTGTTCAAGTTGAAGAAAAAAAATCTGGAAAAACCTACGCAAGTTTCTTTCCATGTAATACATGACATACATTAAAAAGGAAGAAATATCAACTGCGGAATTCAGCTCTGCATAATGGAATGATAACTACAAAAACAGGGAAGGTATTCCAACTGAGGAAGGTTGCTTTTTGATTCAGGATGGATCCTTGGACTCTTCTAACCTGGATACAAATGCATTTAAACTTCTGGGTGCAGATAACAATCTTAGAAGCTGTTATTTTCTGGTCTGGGGAATCTGTAAACCAATGCTGTGAAATTTCTAAATTGGGCAAGAATACGCAGAGATCAAAGTTATTTTCATAGCACATAGTGGTTAAAAACCATCTGCTGCTTTCTTTATTGCAGGCTGGCTCTTTTGCATAGGTTAAAAAAGTTTCCAGATTGTTTCTTTCCATAGCCCTGGCCCTGTTGAACTAGAAGGAATGTCTACCACAGAGAAGTTCCTCCTGCTCATTCATTCCTTGGAAGACATTCAAATTTCAGCTCAGTCAACATCTAATCCTGGCACCGGGTGACCCTCTTCTTTACTGCTTACTAATCATCTTTGCCACCCTTGCCTTGCATTCCAGATGGTTGGGGGGGGAGAACTCCTATGAGTTCACTCTAGTTTCTGAGAAAGCACAGTCAAGATCCGTTCAAATTTCTTGTATCGTTCACCCCGTTCCACCTGTGCTCCTTTACTGCCCCAGAATAACCGAAGGGAGAACTCCGTCTGAAACACTTCCAGGAGTTCTGGAGTGCCCTGGAATCCTGAATGGAGAAAAGAATGTAAAAAAGAAACATGAGCTGAATTCTGTAACGTCAATCAGTACTACACAGAATGCCCATCCTAATATTAGCTAACTGTTTTCTTATGATGTATCACCAATGGAAAATGAAAGGAGCTGCTAAGCCACACATACTAGATTCAGAACAAGACTGAACTCCAGTAAGGCCAGAACAAAAAGGATTAGTATAACCAATGTGGGTATAGGCAGTCCTTGTTTTGTGACAATTGAGCCCGGAATTTTGGTCATAGAATTTTGTTGTGGTTATAAGTTGAGTCAACACGTGACTGGACTTGATTTTATGACAGTAATTAAATGGGTCACCATGATTGTTAAGTGAATCATGGGTTCAAAGTCCAAATCCAGCTCATCCACTAAGCCAGGGCTTTTCAACCTTTTCACCCATTGTACCACTTTTAGGATACGGCAACATCAGAGTACCACCAGTCGCCTAGCAAGGTGTCAAAAAAAAGGAAAAAAGTGATAAAGTACAGGTAGTCCTCGACTTACAACAGTTCGCTTAGTGACTGTTCGAAGTTACAATGGCACCGAAAAAAGTGCCCCCCAAGCCACAACCGAGCAAGACACCTGCCTGCCCACCCGCTTGTCTGAGGTTTCCATTGTTGTGAGCATTTCTGTTGAGGATTGGCAGCGGGGGTGGGGTGGGGGGTGTTTGGTTTTTATTCCCCCATCTGCTGGGTGGTTGCAGCAGGTTTTGGTCACTTCACATGACCCTGGGACACTGTGGCCGTCATAAATATGAATCAGTTGCCAAGCATCTGAATGTAAATCACAAGACCCTGGAGATGCTGCAACATTCCAGCTGATCGGTGCTTCTTCTGGGCTCAGCGGAAGCGCCAGGATGAGCGCCGAACTCCAGCTGCAGCCTGGCACTGATCCTGGCACTTCCACTGAGCCCTGATAGCCCTGCAACTCCAGCTGTCTCTCACTCAGGCTTGTGCAGTGCTGCCACCGGTTCAGTTCATTCCCCTCCCCCGCTACCACTTTTCTAGGATGCTCGCGTACCACCTGCCAGGTGCCAATGTACCACAGGTGGTACCCGTACCACTGGTTGAAAAGCCCTGCACTAAGCGAGCCAGTTGCCAAGCACCTGAAATGTGATCACATGACTATTGAGGTGGCAGGGGCAGTTGTAACTTTGAGATTATAAGTAACTTTTCAGGTCCTTTGTAATTGCCAACAGTCATTAAGTGACCAGTCGTAAGTTGAGAACTATCTGTATAACAGAATTCCTTATTTCAGAATAATATAAGGCCATCATACCAAGGCTGCGTTTAAACACCCAGATAAGCTATAAAATGACAGCTTAATTTAGAGATTAGGAATGTAGTACAGATACCTTGCCACTAGAAACCTCATTTTTAATAATAAAGCAACTGCAAAATTAAAATAGACCACTTCGTGAGATTCTAACCAAGAGTTGAAGGGTCTATGTTCTCATTTTGAGTTTTTGGCTTTTAAAAGTTTAAATCTGGCCAGCCATAAAACCTAGTTTATGGCTTGCTATGTCATGGGACTGCCATAATGGTGCACTGTTTTAAGATGGCACAAACTCATAGAAAGCCTTGGCTTGCATTAGTTTTCCTTAGCAAAGGTTGAAAAGTGAGTCAGAAAGGGGTGCAGTATTCGGATATGATCTAAGCAAAGGTGCTTCCCTTCTGGAGTGAGCATCGTTGCCACACCTGTCTGTGGCATTTGTACTGCGGCTGTTCAGGCTCAAGAAAACATGTCCAAGTTGAGGAGGAGGTGACAGGATGTAACTGTGTCACCACCTGAACCCAATCAGGTGTTTTTCTCAGCCATGCCACTATCCTCCAAACCCAGGAAAAGGCGTGGCTCCTTTATGGAGCAGCCAGCCGGTACAATAAGAATGCCCACTTTAGATCTGACTGCTGCACACTTCTAATAAATCATTAACGCATACAGCATGCCGAGCATTTTATTTCCTTAAAACTGTAGTGGAATTTGCAACTTCGGCAGCAGAGCTGGGAAAGTACAGAGAGAGAGAGAGAGCGCGTAAGGCAATCCCACTGGATATCATCCACAGGGTTCCCAGCCAAAGTTCTTTGGAGTGTATAAGGGGCAAAACTTTCCTTGAGGTACCCATCCACTGAATAATCACCAACCCTACCCAGTATGGTAGGATCAGGATAGAATTAAAACACATTTTGAGCCACTCAGAGCAAAAGCAAGAGCAGAAGTCCAGCTGCTACAAGTCGTGCTTACCCAAAATTGCTGCTCCTTTTAGAGCTGGCGTACTTCACAGGCTAACTAAGACTAGCTGTTAATAAACCATTGCTGAGTCATATTTCCATCACCAAAATAGCTACAAAGTTCAGATGGGTGGATTTTTCATTGGTTAGAAACTTATCCCGACTTATTTAGCAGCTCAAGGCAGAATGCATAAGGCTCCTCTTGATTTTCTCCCCACAACAACCTTGCAAGGTAGACTGGGCTGAGAGGATGGCCCAAACTCACTCAGTGAGCTACTGCAGCTGACAATGGCCTAGAGAGCCTGGGTATTTCAGTGCAGTCCACCACCTTGATGCTGTGACAGCTTTCTTCTAGGCTGCTGTTATTCACCCACACGTATTCCACCTAAGAGGGCAACTGGGAAAGGAATGGATGCTCACCAGCCAATCTGAACTGAGCTAACCAAGGTACATAGAGGGGGCCCAGCTGTCACTGCCAAGAGCAACCCTACCTTGAAGTCTGGCCTCAGCCCTGATGCAATAAGTGCCAGTGTCGGTGGCAACAAAGCGAGCTGCTTCCAGCGTCCGCAGGAGGACATCACACGTCTCCTCATTGTCGTCCCACAGTTGCTCTCCTTCCATAAGACTGAGAAGAGGCAGGATATGAGGAATTGCTACCTCCTTTGGGGAGAAGACAGAATTCCCTGTAGGCCACAGACAACAGCCTTTTAGATCACAGATGGAATTACAGGTAGTCCTTATTTAACAATTGTTCCCAATTACAGCAGTAATGTATCCCACATTTATTATTTTTACAAATAACTCCAGGCAGCGAATGTATCCGACACACCTTCCTCCTCTTATTTTCCCCATAACCTTTGCAGTCTATAAAGCAAAGGAAGGCTGAAGTAAAATCAAACACTGTTTTTGTTTCATTTGGAACAGCCATTTTGGTTAACACGCCCAATTGTGGTAACTTGTAAGCTGAGAAACTCTGATTTAATTCAGTTTAAGGCATATTTTTATTATTAATTAATTAATTAATTAATAATCAAATTTACATAGCTGCCCATCTCACCAAAGGAGACCCTGGGTGGCTTGGACATTTTCCAGAGGTTGTCCCTGTATTTATTAAGATGCCAATCCCTATAGAGAAGTCTGACTGCTGCAGAATTCACCAACTTTTTGCTACCCTACTTACTAGATTGGAGTCAGAAAGTTTGGAAAACAATCCTGCTCAGAGGAGTGCATTCATATACATCAGCTCATAATGGGCAGCCTTTCAAATGCTGGTCCATTGCATGAGTGCATCCTAATCAAACGGCAGTTACATTTAAACAGCAAGGAGGGAAGTTCAGGCTAGACATCGGGAGGAATGTCCTGACTCTGCCAGCTGTCAGCCAGAAGAACAAACTGTCACATGGAAGTGGTAAGTACTCCTTCACTCTAGAGGTCTTCAAACAGAGGCTAGATAGGAGAGATATCTAGTAAATTCTACTCTGAGGATTGCTTGGACTCTACAGTCTCTTCCAAATCTTTGACTCTATGAGTCACTCTGCACCCTGATAACAAGGAATTTCAGTAATAAGAGTATATAAACACCGGCACAATTATTTACCTTAAAACAACAATCTGCCTAGTCTGGAATGACTGTCCAGATACACTAGAACTTCCCATTTTTGTGGCAATGAAACTACTCAGAGAATTCACAACAAGAAATCAAACTGCTCAGAGTTGCCTCTAAACAAAGTAGGTGGCACATAAATTAATATAATAAAATAAACCCTAAGTTGCAGTTTAGGGCTATCCCTGAGGCAGTAAACTTACATTTCTGTTTTATAAGAGTGACTGCAACATTTACAAAGATCAAACTTTGAGTGATGTAATAAATATCTCCTCTAAAAGACAGAAAGTCCCAAAGCAGGACTCAGAGTCCAAGAAGAAAATACACCACACCCTTAACTACAGCTCTGCTCATATTATTTGTTTTAAATTTTTTAGAATGGGAATGGATGCATGCAACTTCAAATGAATGCAAAACGGGGTACAGCTATTTTAAAAATGATTCAAGGAATATTTTATATATTCACTAAGCTGCTCATAAAAATGTTTAACAGTCTAAATGAATGTTTCCAATATTACATGGAAGCTCCCAAGATTATGTCTGCATGGTGATATACCATGGAGCAGTTGAAATCTAAACTGACTTCCTACATCTCAGCCCTAAATAAAATTGTGTCCATGGTGCACAAGATGGTGCTTGAAAAGGTTGCTGACTCCCGAGCTGCACATGAAAATAGAGCAATGCACCAGAAGCTCTACACAGTTGTAATGACTGGAGTTGGCCAGAATGATTGCAAGGCCCTACCTTCAGCCCTGTTCAGATTCCCCAAGAGAGGCTTGAGCTCCTTCTCAAAGACGATGGCGCTTGCGGTGTGGCTCTGGCGCAGATGCCTCCATGTTTGCTCCAGCCGGGTGATCTGCAGATTCCAAAACAGGAGAGAAGTATAAACAGAGCTGCCTGCACAGCCTCTGGGGTTCAGAATGGAATGACTGGCTTGGCCAGGTGCTTAATAAAGAAAGAGAAAGGGATATAAATATTTACACTTCAGAGTGGTAGATTAAATGCATTCCATCCATTCTAACAGCAACATGTGGACTGAAACCAGAGCTAGTTAGGTGAGCTGCTTCTGATCAAGTATCTGAACTCAAACTACGCTTTTCCATCTTTTTTGTGCAGGAACACAAGGCTAGCCCTAGGCTTTGGCTTTCCTCCCAGAAGCCCACTCCCACCTCCTCACCTGTGGTAGCTGAAGAGCTTTCATCACGGCAGAGAGGGCAAAGAGGTCCCCAACTGGCCTCCACAGCTCCACGGCTAGCTGGATGACCTTGTGGAGGGTGGCAGCCCGTTCAGCCACTGACCCTGTACAGCCCAGGATGTCCACAGCAATGCCCAGAGCTATAAGATGGTGCCTGAGGATGGAAAAAGAAAACACAAAAAATTTTGGTGCTGCTGCAGCAGCTGCTCTCAAATACATTCACTGCCATCTGCTCAAAAGCAATAACAGGATTCCTACTTGCTGCTTTACTGGCAGACCAGAAGCCAGGTGGTGGCCCAGACCAGCTTTTTCACGTAAAGCTGACATGCAAGATCCCATCTGAACCCTGAGGAATGTCTTCTGTCCCTCAGTCCACAGTGCAGGACCCCAAGATGTTCTGCCACAGAATAATGCACTAGTTGGGTCTTTCTTTGTATAGAGTGTTAAATAGATTTGATTGGGAAAAGCTGTTTATCAAGCACTCATAATTCTAGCAATTACGTTCTCAAATTGGGCCTTGAAAGGACTAGCTAGCCTTTACTTTCAGAATGATAGATAGATAGATAGATAGATAGATAGATAGATAGATAGATAGAGAGAGAGAGAGAGAGAGAGAGAGAGAGAGAGAGAGAGAGAGAGAGAGAGAGAGAGAGAGAGAGAACCTTTATTGTCATTTTTTACTGTGGACACAATGGCACATATTAAAAATGAAATTTAGTTGCTTGCTGTCAAAGTGTACACATGCATAACACACATTTAAACATACTATATACAACATATGTATAGACCTACATCCTTAAATATAATTAACATATAAATATTAATCACTGTCCATCTTGAATATATAATGCAAGGAGGAAGCTTTAGATTTCACAAGGTTAATACTAAGAATGATCCCCTACTGGACACCTGCAGGCTAGGGAGTGGCTGAAGGGGATAGATAGGCAGAGCCATTTGCATCTCCCTCATGTCTAAAAGAGGTTTTTATTTGCCAGCTCCAGGCTGATCTAGATACTATGCAGGGAATGTGGCCAGAGGGGGAGAAGGGCCACCAAAGCACAGTCAGCAGTCAACTATGAAGTGGCCTCCTGAGAATGACTGGGCCTTTGTCTTCAGGAAATTATTCTCTGCTCTCCCAGAAAGTCATTTATTTTTAATTTATTTTTATTTTTTTTAATTTTCTATCACTAAATAGAAAATTGATTTCTTTACCATTAAATCTTCAGAAGACTCACAATGTGTTTGTAACTAGGCTCTAATCTTTTGTAATACAAAAATTAAAAACAGTGACAGTAAGTTAATTAAAATAAAACCAAAACAATTACAGTAAGCAATAATTAAATTACAGGTAGTGCTCAACTTGCAATCATTTGTTTAGTGACCGTTCAAAGTTACAATGCCCTGAAAAAAGTAACTTACAACTGGTACTTGCATTTACAACAATTGCAACATCTCCAGTCACACAATCAAAATTCGGGTCCTAAGCAATTGGTATATATTTACAGTGGCATGATCCTGGGGTCATGTGATCACCATTTCCAACCTTCCCAGCCAGCTTCTAACAAGTAAAGTCAATGGAGGAAGCGGGATTCACTTAACAATCCTATAATTCACTTAACAACTGCAATGATTCACTTAACAGCCTACCAAAAAGATTGCAAAATCGGGCATGACTCATTTAAGAACCACCTGACTTAGCAATGGAAATTCCAGTCTCAATTTTGATCATAAGTTGAGGGGTTTTATTCCGCTAGTTGTAGCCAACTTTAGGGGTTGGTGCTCATCTCTGCTCCTTTAAGCTATTGAGCCAGCACTGTCTGAAGCTGTTTCCGCAGGCATGTGGCCAGCATGACATCATATCGTAGTACAGAATGTGCGGTGAAACATGGAGCGCTGTTACCTCACCATCAAAGTGGTACCTATTTATCAACTTGTGTTTACATGCTTTTCAAATAGCTAGGTTGGCAGGAACTGAGGCAAGTGAGGGGATATCATTCCATCACATGGTGGTAGGACTTGAACCGCCACAGCCACAAACCTTCTCCAGCACCTTTTAAGCCATTGAGCCACTGCACCTCTCCGTAAATTGAGATTGTAATTACATATTTATCCTTAGTGAATTGGCACCTACAATACATCCTCAAGAGACAAGCAAGCAAGTTCTGGAGAACACACACAGATATGTACACACAATTTCACAACTTCTTCTCTGGCGCCTGCCAGACACCACAGAACTTTAGTCAGTACCTTTCCAGCATGTCCTTCCGAAACTGATGCCCCTGAGGCAGGGTCATAAGCTCCAGACCCGAGCTCACCCCCATGGCCCGCTCCTGCTCTTTAGATACGCCAATGATCCTCAACGCCTGTAGAAGAGATATAGTGCATTTCACAAGATGTTAGCATTTAAGCCAACAGTTGTTTCTTACATCATCTCCATTTCACCCTTGAGGGGAATTTTTCTTATGGGCTAAATCAATTATACTTTCTACGACAGCAGATCGTTTTAGCTAGAGAGCCAAAGGGCTCAGGGAGTCAGCTGAGATAGAAATCCCCAAATCCCCATCATATTGTTTCCAACATGCCAAAACCAGGCAGCAGGGGAGGAGGAAATATTTGAGAAAATTACTTTTATTTAACTATTCCAAGCTGGAAAGATCTGTAACTGAATTCTTATTTTAATGCTCAAAAAATGGAGCAAAGCTACACAGTAAAAGCTACTTTTTTCTTTTCTTTTTTAAATAGAAAAGGAATTTGTTTTCTATGCTACTATGCTCCTACACAGTACTGTTCTCACCATTATCTCCATTAAAATTTCAATTAAATATACTCTTTTCAAATCTTTTCCTGAGAGGTTCCCTGTTTTAAATTAGATTTACTTTTCTAGCTGAATCTGGAAGAACTAAACACAAATTACGACTAAATAAGGATGCTAAAAGAGAGAAACGGTTGCTGGAATTGGATATGTCTTGTTTAAAGAAGAGAAGGACGAAGGGGGACATGATAGCAGTGTTCCAATATCTCAGGGGCTGCCACAAAGAAGAGGGAGTCAAGCTATTCTCCAAAGCACCTGAAGGCAGGACAAGAAGCAACGGATGGAAACCAATCAAGGAGAGAAGCAACCTTGAACTAAGGAGAAACTTCCTGACAGTTAGAACAATTAACCAATGGAACAACCTGCCTCCAGAAGCGGTGAATGCTCCAACACTGGAAGTTTTTAAGAAGAGACTGGACAGCCATTTGTCCGAAATGGTATAGGGTTTCCTGCCTCAGCAGGAGGTTGGACTAGATGACCTCCAAGGTCCCTTCCAACTTTATCATTATTATTATTATAAATTAAAAACTTTCTGCTCAGACAATTTAAAAAAAACAACGTATATCTCATCTTAGCACTAAGGATTGCTTGCACTGACATCATTATTATTATTATTATTATTTAGAGCAGGGGGTTGGACTAAAAGCCCTCCAGGTTCCCTTCCAATTCTATTACTGCTGCTCATAGAATAGATTTCTGATCCTTCAGGCCTGCAACTTACCACCTCTTTCATTTATTAAGGTTTTGCCAACCAGGATGAGGAAAGCTCAAAGATGCTTTTAGAATCCCAATTCAATGTGGGTAATAAGCAAGTTCTGGAATGGGAGTGATGTCAATCTTTCGTAGCAAAGCACAGTTTATATCTTGGCTTATATGAACCACAAAACAACTCCTGAACAATGGGAAAGGAGCCCCATGACTCTTCTGCATCAGCCCATGAGCATTCATAAAACTAGGAGATGGTAATAGTCCAAATTCACTTAACAAAAGGACCAGGTTGCATCAGACACTATCTCATGCTCAGAATTCCTAACCCAAACGCCTTAGAGTTAGCTTTCTAACATGAGAAAGGGAATCTCTCCCATAATAATCAAGCAGATCAGATGGCCGAAACCAGAGTTCCAGTCCTGACTCAGGTCAAAATACACTTGTACAAAACCAATCATCTGTTAAATATGAATTAATGCAATCCACCATAAAGGAGGCAACTGAAGATCACTAAAATAATATTATATTTGAAAAATTGTCTTCTGTGGCCCTCACCTGACAATCCATTTTTAAAATGTGAAGGGCTGTTGTGTGGCAATCATGGGTAGCAAAAATGTCCTTGAGGTGCTTGAGTGTGCCGGAGTCCAGGGGCTTGTTGTTAGGGGTTAAAAGCAATGAGTTAAAGTGCTGAAGCTGGAAGGAGGAAGTAGTCTCTAGCAGCGGGCGCTCAAACCCTGGTTCCACTTCCATCTCCTCTGACTGGGGAGAAGGAAAAGGAGCCTGAACAGAATCCAGGAACCCAAAAGTAGTCTCTGTAATGTGAGCCCGGCCACGCCATCTCTCTTCAGTCCGCAAGCGCTCCACGTGGCTTCGGGGCCCCTGAGGAACCTTAGGAATCAGTTCACAGTAGTCATTCATCAGCATGGAAGGGACCCTCAGAGGCTTTGGGGGAGCTTTGGAATGAAGCCGCCCTTCTGAACCACTCAGTCCCAAACCTTCCAGCAGATGAGGTGCTGAGGCACTTGGCCGTAAGACAGGGTCACTGCCTGTGCGAAAGGCAGGAGACAAAGGAGGGGGTTGGGTTCGGTCCTGGTCTCCAGGTGATGTTTCTGCGCTTCCTGTGGACAGAAGAATGGTTTGGGTGCAGACGGATTAGAGTTAGATAATTCCTTTCGATTGGCACACAAACATTCCCTGCCTCAAGTGTACTTCTGTCTGAATATGTTTATTATATTGAATTTCTATTAAATCAAATGCTGGGAATTTCAGTGTTAAAACAAGATGTTGTCATGTTATGGTGCCAGATATAATATATGCAACATTTCAGATGTACCCGCTAATTTTTAAAATGTATGTGTAGTCAATCTCATCAATTAAATGAAGATGGTGCAGGAGACTTTCATCTAAAAATAAGGATCAATTGATTAACCACACTGATTAATGAAATTAGGATAGATGCACTCCTAATAAAGAAAACACTTGTAAAATATTTGATTACTCCAAGTTTAAGTCATCATTCCCTAATCAAGCAAAGGCACATATTCACGATGATGTTATTGCAATGTAGGCCCCAATATCATCACGATTTGTTCAATGGGACTCTTGGCCATTGGCAACATAAACAGGCAGCCATTGTCAAAACTGACTAGCAACTACAGGCAGCACCTGCTGCCCTTCAATGTCACCAACAAAAGCTACCCAGTGGTAGAGGCCATGGATCCTATCAGAGCCTTAAGGTCCAGCTCTCATCCAAGGAAACCACATGGTGTACAAGGCTATCCTGACAATCTTCTGTGGGCTCTGATATCATACAAACCATCAAGCTATTATTTCTGGTTTCATGCTAAGTTTGTCAACAAATGCAAAATCCATGGTCTATGTAATCATGGATTATGATTTCACAATGCAAACCCTGTAAATTGTGTACTTGTGTCTGATGTCAGGATGTATGCATGAAAGAACAGGATTGCACTGTGATGTCACAACATTTTTTATCATTTTTTTCATGCTTTTAAGTCAAACTGCTCAGTTTTTCAAGTTTTGACTATAACTAGAAACATTTTTCATTAAATGGCAATTAAATATTTTCAGGAGAAAGAAATCACATTCTATGTTTTACCTTCCCCATGCTACAGAACAGTTCTAGCCATGCCAACTTCTGTATTTTTTCTTTGACTCCTAGACACTGTGTTGCTTCCAGTCCACTGCTTTCCTGCATGATTTAACTGATATTGGGGGAAATACAGGATGAGTTGCATAATCCTGGAAAGCTGAAGAATCTCTGCTTCCATTTAGAGGATTCGGGGAAAATGTATTAACCTGTATTGTGTGGTCTTGTGTTGTATTGCAGATAAAGCAGTAGAGGAACCATATTCCTGTCACTATTTGTAGACTGAAGGTACTTTATGCCAACCTGCCCATATGGAGTCTGTCTTCCATATACCCACCTGTCAATAAGTTGCTGTCTGATTGGGCACCATGCAATGAAGGTCTCTGGCCCAGCTGATCTAGGCTACTGGGGTCACTTCCACTTCGATCTTTTGTTCTGAGAGAGGGAAAAACCAAGATACAGAACTAAGTGATCCATTCTCCCCCACAAACCCTATTTTTCAAAAACTTGCAGCACAGCTAACTGACTTTGGGGACTTCCATAATCACACCACCAAACATTCTTTCACTGGTAAGGCTTTCCACATTTTGAGACCTAGAGTGTAATAAAGGTCCTGCACTATAAATCTGAGCAAGACCCAGTGAATTGGCCATAATTACTTAAAAGTGTGCCTTATTTCTAAGTAGCTGTATTTAAAAGCAAAATTTAGGAGTACCATATCGTCTTCTCTGCCACACTGCCAAGTTTCACCACCACCCCTCCAACAGTTTCACCATGGAGCAAGGTTCCTCACCGGAGCAAGTTTCCATCTCCTGTTTGTTCCCCAGCAATAGTAGAACGAAAGCTGAACTGTCGAAGAGGTGCTTCTTCCTCCTTCGATGGGCCAGGAGGCTGGCCAGTATCACTGAAACGCTCCTCCAGACAGCGAAGTGGTACAGTCCTGTTGACTGGTCGAGACACCACAGCTCCTGAAATATCTGAGATGATCTTCCGGTTGCCCACATAAAAGCGCACCAGGGCAGGGACATTGTCAAACTGCTCCTGTTCAAACTGGAAAAGGGTGCGAGAATAGCCCTTTCGGGGACGGAGTACCACACGAATTATCTTGAAGTGCAGGGCCTGTCCTCCCCACTGGCATGACAAGACATAATCACCCAGACTAGAGCGTGAATCGCGGATCAAGAACTCCCCATCATTCCGTAACATGGATTCTGCCTCCTGAGAGAGAGAGAGGGAGGGAGGGAGGGAGGGAGAAAGAGAGGTAAGTACACATAGAAGGAAGGTCTGTCTTTCTTTAAGGAGAGGTCCAACAAAACATAATATTAGAACAATCTCAAGATGATTAAATACAAGAACAAGACAAAGAGCTACTTGAAAGTTACTGAGAACCAGTGAGATAAGATAAATAAGATAACCTTTGTTGTCATTTTTTACTATGAGCATGCTGGCCCATATTAAAAATGAAATTCTGTTGCCTGCTCTCAAAAGAAAGTATATATCAACCCATACAAATACATAACACACATATACACATTATGTCTGTCTGTCTGTCTGTCTGTCTGTCTATCTATCTATCTATCTGTTTTTTTACAAACTGTAAGTCTTCGGGAGGCTGCACCAGAAAAGTAGCGGCCCGCGTGCCTAATGGCGCGCGAATTATATAACTAAAAATCATAAACAGCAGCGGTACATTCAGGGCAAGTGTGTCTGAGATTCCCTGTATCTAAGAATGTCTGGCTTAGTTCAGTGCAACACTTGTTTTGCAGCTGTCTTTCGCAGTACCCTTTTCAAACTTGGAAACTGTCCTATCTGTAAACAAATCACTAGTCTACAAGGACAGATTATCCATCTAGGGTCTGTAATCTGTGCTCTTCAGACAGAAATTAGGTGTCCAGTTCAGTCCCTCTACTCTACTGAGCCCCCTCTACCACAAAGATCCTGCAGGAGAAGGGCAGTGTGGACAACCGTGGGATCTGGCAGGGTGAGAGCTGTGAACCATAAACGCAAAGCTTTCGCTGTGTCCCTGCACAACAGATACAATGCCCTTGCTGACCTTCATAGGGACATTAAGGAGACAGGTAAAGGTATTTGTGATGATAACTCAAATAAGCAGGGGATCGTGGTCCGAGATGAAAAACTTGTTTTCGACAGGGAGAAGTGCGAATCAGGTATTACACATCAGTCATGCAAGTACAGAAAGGCATCCAAAAAGAGAAGCCGCCTTCTGTTAGGTGATTCAATTATAAGGGATGTAAATTTAGGAAAGGACACAGAGGTTTCGAAAGAGGTCAGGTGTCTTCCAGGTGCTACTGCCAGTAGGGACAAGAAGCGTATTTCTAAAATAATCAAGAATGTCAGCAAGGACTGTGAAGTGGAGGCTATTGTACATCTTGGCACTAACCATCTGTCCCAAAAATATGTACTCTCTGTGCGGAATGATTTCCAGAGCTTGGGGCAGAAACTTAGCAGAATAGGCTTAAGGCTTACTTTTTCAGAAATTTTACCAGTATATGAGGAGCAAAATGAAAAAGGCCAGCGTATAGTACAATTCAATATGTGGCTAAAGGAGTGGTGTAAAGGGAAAGGCTTTGGATATATTAGTCACGATGTCTGTAGCTGGTCCAATGAAAAAATGTACAAAAGAGATGGTTTGCATCCATCAAAGAAAGGGACTGAGTTACTCGGCTATAAATTCACAGATTTTCTGGAGGAATATTTAAACTAGACAGCGGGGACAGTGAGTTAATTGATACAGAACATCCCTGTCCCTGGCAATCTAAAAATTATAGGGCTATCAGTGCATGTAACATAGATGTGTCTGTGGACAAGCAAAATCAAGCTTCTAATAGTGAGTGCCACACAAAGTGCACTAACCAAATAGGGGGTAAGACAACAGGGGAACTCAGGCACCACACAGGTTATGTAGAAAGTAAACACAAGGTCAGTCATAAACGACTCAAATGTCTATACATCAATGCACAGAGTATGAACAGCAAACAGGGTGAACTAGAAATTCAGGTTAATGAGGGCAGATATGATATTGTTGCCATTATGAAAACATGGTAGGATGAAACCCACAAATGGAATACACAGCTAGAGGGATTTAAATTATTTAAAAGAAACAGACCAAATAAAAGAGGAGGCGGAGTTGCTCTCTATATAAGAAATAACTACATCTCTACAGAAATAGAGCATAACAATGATGGAAACTATCTTGAATGCATTTGGGTCAATATAAAAGGGGGGGAATGACATTGCCATAGGAGTATACTACAGGCCACCCAACCAAACAGAGGAAACAGATGAACTTTTTGCTAGTCAGCTAACTGAGGTATGTAGGAAGTGTATCACAATAGTAATGGGAGACTTTAACTATCCTGATATCAACTGGGAGACAAACTCTGCACCAAATGGAAGATCAAACAGATTCCTTGCAAACCTAGCAGACAACTTTGTCTCCCAAAAAGTAGAGAAGGGAACCAGGGGATTAGCCATTTTGGATCTAATTCTCACTAACAGAGATGAAATGATAGAAGGTGTTGAAGCCACAGGAACCTTGGGAGGAAGTGATCATGCAATATTGGAATTCAACATTTTGGAAGCACAAGCAATAGAACACAGTCAAACTAGAGTCTTGGACTTTAACAGAGCTAATTTCAATAAACTTAGAGAGGGCTTGGGAAGGATTCCATGGATGAGAATCCTCAAGGGGAAAACAACTCAAGAAGCTTGGGAATTTTTGAAAAGTGAGATAATAAAAGCCCAGTCTAGCACAATAGCAACAAAGAGGAAAAATAACAACTCTCAAAAGAAACCAGCATAGCTGCATAAAGAACTCTCTGATAAATTGAAAGATAAAAAGGGCAAGTATAGAAAGTGGAAAGAGGGGCACATAACTAAGTCAGAATATCAGCAAATAGCCCGAGCCTGCAAAGATGAAGTGAGGAAAGCCAAGGCTCAAAATGAACTAAGGCTTGCNACCAAAGTCAAAAATAACAAAAAAAGCTTCTTTCAACATGTAAAAAACAAGAAAAAAGTGAAGGAAATGATCGGTCCATTAGCGGGTGAAAATGGCAGGAAGGTGACAAGCAACAGGGAGAAAGAAGAACAATTTAACTCGTTTTTTGCATCTGTCTTTACACAAAGGGAAAAAACAGACCAACCTACCAAAAATAGTGCCATAAAAAACAGAATAGAAACGCAAGTTAAGATAGGCAAGAAAATGGTAAGTGAGCACCTCTCCAGCCTAGACGAGTTCAAATCACCAGGACCAGATGGATTACACCCCAAGGTTCTCAAGGAACTGGCAGATGTGATCTCAGAACCATTGAACTATATTTTTCAAAGATCCTGGAGCACTGGGGAAATACCAGAGGACTGGAAAAGAGCTGATGTAGTTCCCATCTACAAAAAAGGAAAAAAAATGGACCCAGGAAATTATCAGCCTGACCTCAATACCTGGGAAGATTCTGGAAAAGATAATCAAACAACGAATCAGCGAACACCTAGAGGCAAACAAAGTCATTACTAAAAGCCAACATGGGTTTGTCAAAAATAGATCATGCCAGACAAATCTTATTGCATTTTTTGACCAAGTGACAAAATTAGTGGATCAGAGGAATGCAGTGGATATAATTTACTTGGACTTCAGTAAGGCATTTGATAAAGTAGATCACAACCTACTACTTGATAAGATAGAACAGCGGTTCTCAACCTATGGGTCGCGACGCCATTTGGGGTCGATCGACCATTTCACGGGGGTCGCCAAGCAAGGCTGTCCGCCATTTTTTTCCCCTTTTCCAGCGGGTGCCTTACCTCCCTTGAGCTGGGCCAGCTGGTGGTTGGCCTGATCCTCTGCCGCTTGCCAGCTACGCCTCGGCCGGCGCAGGGGGCAGAACCACGCATGCGCGGCGCTCCCGGGCAGGGAAAGTCCTCGACTTACAACCGGTTGGGTAGTCCTCGACTTATGACCGGTTTAGTCCTCGACTTACGACCGGTTTAGTCCTCGACTTACGACCAGTTTAGTCCTTGACTTACGACCGGTTGGAGGTCGCGGCATTAAAAAGGTTGAGAACCACTGAGATAGAAAAATGTGGGTTAGACAGCATCACCACCAGATGAATCCAGAGCTGGCTGGCCGGCTGTACTCAGCGTGTGGTCCTCAATGGAACCGCATCTACATGGAGGGAAGTTTGTGGTGGGGTGCCCCAGGGCTCTGTTTTCGGCCCAGTGCTCTTCAACATCTTCATCAACGATTTGGACGAGGGGATAGATGGGGAAATCATCAAATTTGCAGACGACACCAAGCTGGCAGGAATAGCCAACACTCCAGAAGACAGGCTTAAGATACAGGAGGATTTGGACAGACTTGAACACTGGGCACTATCTAACAAAATGAAATTCAATGGTGAAAAAAGTAAGGTTCTACATTTTTCTTCTTCTTCTCTTGCCATATCCATTATCGGATTTTGGCGATCATGTTGGTGATCCTATTTTTATCAGCAGCCGCACAAAAAAGTGCTGCTGAGTTTTGTCCAAACCAATCCCTTAGATTTTGAAGCCACGATGTTCTTCTTCTGCCTGGACCTCGTTTGTCTTCAATCTTTCCCTGGAGGATTAAATGGAGTATGCCGTATTTTTCTAGGTGTCGCATCACATGTCCGAAATATTCTAATTTTCGTTTTTTAATTATTTTGATGATTTCCCTTGGCTTTCCCAGGCGGCTTATCACCTCATTTCTGATCTTGTCAACCCAGCTTATACGTAACAGCCGCCTGTAGATCCACATTTCAAATGCTTCTAGTCTCTTCAGATGGCCTTCTGTCAGAGACCAACTCTCTACTCCATAGAGCAGGATAGAAAAAATATAGCATCTGACAAGCCTGATTTTCAGTCTTAGGCTTATGTCGTGACTGCAGAAGACCTTTTTCATTTTGAAGAATGCTGTTCGAGCTTTCTCTATCCTTGTCTTTACTTCAGAGGTCATGTCCCAGCTTTCATGTAAATTGGAACCAAGGTGCGTGATCCTTTCAACTTTTTCTAGTGGTATTCCTTCTGAATTTATTGGTGGTAAATTAATGGGTTGTTTGCTGACGACCATGATCTTGGTTTTTGAGGTGTTAAGCTACAAGCCGTATTTTTCAGATATTTCTGTGACTTTGTTGATGAGGAGCTGAAGGTCTTCATGCTTACTGGCAGGCAGAACTGTATCGTCAGCATATCTTAAGTTGTTGATCCAAACACCATTTACTTTGATGCCAGCATCGATGTTCTCCAGTGCCTCGTTGAAGATTGACTCAGAGTAAATATTGAACAACAGTGGAGACAGAATACATCCCTGTCTGATCCCTCTTCTTATTTCTGCATCAGCTGAGTATTTTTGGCCTAGTCTCACCTTTGCTACCTGATGCCAATACAGATTCTTTATTATTTGGATGTCTTTGTCATCTAGTCCCCCTTGTTTCAGGATTTCTAATAGTTAGAAAAACCAAATGTACAGGTATAGTATAGGGCTGCAGTTCTCAACCTATGGGTCGCGACCCCATTTGGGGGTCGATCGACCATTTCACGGGGGTCGCCAAACAAGGCTGTCCGCCATTTTTTTTCCCCTTTTCCGGCGGATGCCTTACCTCCCTTGAGCTGGGCCAGCTGGTGGTCGGCCTGCTCCGTCTCTGCCGCTTGCCAGCTACGCCTCGGCCGGCGCAGGGGGCGGAACCACGCATGCACGGCGCTCCCGGGCAGGGAAAGTCCTCGACTTACGACCGGTTGGGTAGTCCTCGACTTACGACCTGTTTAGTCCTCGACTTACGACCGGTTTAGTCCTCAACTTACGACCGGTTGGGTAGTCCTCGACTTACAACCGGTTTAGTCCTCGACTTACGACCGGTTTAGTCCTCGACTTACGACCGGTTGGGGGTCGCGGCATTAAAAAGGTTGAGAACCACTGGTATAGGGGGTACCTTGCTCAATAGTAGTAACTGTGAGAGGGACCTCAGAGTCCTAGTGGACAATCACTTAAATATGAGCCAGCAGTGTGCTGTAGCTGCCAAAAAGGCCAACACAGTGCTGGGCCTGCATTAACAGAGGGATAGAATCAAGATCACATGTAGTATTAATACCACTTTACAATGCCTTGGTAAGGCTACACTTGGAATACTGCATCCAGTTTTGGTCACCACGATGTAAAAAAGATGTTGAGACTCTAGAAAGAGTACAGAGAAGAGCAACAAAGATGATTAGGGAACTGGAGGCTAAAGCATATAACAGCTGCTGGAATTAGGTATGTCTAGTTTAATGAACAGAAGGACGAGGGGGGACACAATAGCAGTGTTCCAATATCTCAGGGGCTGCCACAAAGAAGAGGGAGTGAAGCTATTTTCCAAGGCGCCTGAAGACAGGACAAGCAACGGATGGAAAATAATCAAGGACAGAAGCAACCTAGAACTAAGGAGAAACTTCCTGACAGTTAGAACAATTAACCAGTGGAACAACCTCCCTCCAGAAGTGGTAAATGCTCCAACACTGGAAGTTTTTAAGAAGAGACTGGACAGCCATTTGTCTGAAATGGTATAGGGTTTCCTGTCTGAGCAGGGGGTTGGACTAAATGACCTCCAAGGTCCCTTCCAACATCATCATCATCATCATCATCATCATCATCATCATCATCATCATCATTATTATCCACCTATACACACACACACACATATTGATCACTATCCATTTTGAATACGTAGCGGAAAGAGGAAACTTGAGAGTTCACAAAGTTGATGCTATATGGAAAAAAATTGTGACTGAATCTGGATATTCTGCTTCAGATACCACGAAGCCTCCGCCCAGAAGGTAACAAGGAAAACAGGTCATGAAGAGGATGTGTAGCATCTCTGACAATCCTACGGAGCCTGCTTAAGCATTGCTTATATGCTATGTCCTAAAAGTGAACTACTAATGATCTTTTCTGCCATCCTCACCACTCTCTGCACTACCTTCCTGTCTGAAGCAGTAGTGGTTCAGACAGGACCTGAAGCAGATACAGAGAATCAGTGAGCATTACCTGACGCATCACAGAACTTCTAACGGGTATTTTATTCTCCCTTCCAGATCAGGAGCAACTTCTGTTACTATAATAGGAACAGCTGGTTTAATGAAGATACTTTTTTCTGTACAAGTAAAAGTGGACAAACTCTGCCCTACACTGAATTTGAGAAATCCTCAGATTCATTGTGCCAAGCGGATATAAACTCAGAATGTTCTTTAAAGTTTGGTGCTATTATGGCTGATAGTCAACCAGATGTTTAGACTGGATCTGACATATTGCCCATCTACTGAAACCTTCCCAAGTAGTAATGCTTTTTTCCTGCCACAGTCAATCTACCTCTATTTGCAGGTATTTGTATGTTGTGATTTTCTCTATTCTTTCTCCTCTATTCTTTTGTCTCCAAGTACTGCAACAACCACTATGCAAGATTTTTGTCTCTCTGATGGTTAAATCTGGGGTATTATGTGGAAGGTTCTTGTCTGCTTGAATTCTAAAGTCCCAGAACACTTTTGCTTCTTCATTATTATTGTTGTTGTTGTTGTGAATCCCAGCAATACTAGGCTTCTACAGGAATTTTAAAAAACTAGTCTGGAAAAATAATCTTTTCTCCTATATGTTTGGACAACCTGAACTGTGTTGGTCAACACATCATTCCTGTTCTTGGCTTCCAGGGAAACCTAACTCTTTTTCTAAGCCAGGTGTGTTCAGAACCTAAGGGCTGTTCTTCATATTCTAGTGACTCTTCACAATTGTTTTATCTAGAATCATTGTTTTTCAGGTTCCAAAATCCAGGAAATTCCTGTTTCCTCCTGATTTCATTCAGGAGGATGTTGTTACGAAATTATGATGGAAAAACTTTATATCTAAGCCTAATGGTGATGGGGCACATAAGGGACTAGACTTCAATGAGGGGGATAGTCTTGATATAGGTTATATTCTGTTGATGAAATACATATCTTGCTGATGATGTTACAGCAATGTGACCTCTATCATCCCCATCTCATGCCTCCAGTCCTTTCCCTTGGCCACCTTCCACTCCTAGTCTCCCTTTTCTAAGTCTGATGCCAAGGGAAATAAGCAAGTGGGACTTCCTGGTGCAGGAGTAACTTTTTCATGGGTAGAAGCTGACAGCTGCTTTAGTGATTGGGTCTATCGTCCCTGGATAAACCAGGAAATCTTATGTTTTGCTTTCTTGTTTGGCACTATGACGGAAAATTCTGAATAAGGAGGCCCTACTATCATATGTTACACAAGGACCTGTCCCAAATGAACAGCTGAGTTAACATGCAAGAAAATATAGTTTTTGATGTCTAATGATTGAGAGAACAAACTGTAGGCATTTAAGGGAAAAAAATAACATGTTTCCCTTAGCAAAAATACTGTTCCCAAGCAACCACTCCAATTGTTTTCCCCTTCACTAGGAACTATGAAAATAAATACCTCCTAATCAAATTTGATCCTGTCCTTCCTCTTTTACCCTATCCATCCATCCTCCATCCAAATTCTGTTTTCCCTCAAGTATTTCTTCTCTTCCCCTCCATATAGAAAAAGATTATTTATTATTATTATTATTATTATTATTATTATTATTATTATTATTATTATTATTATTATTATTATTATTATTAAAATTTATATACTGCCTTATCTCCCTTATGGGACTCAGGGCGGTGAACAGTTAATTCTTTATGGTTAAATATTAACTATTACTGTTGATAAAACTAAACTATATGACTATAGTAAAGACTTGATTCGGTTAGTAGCCATGGAAACAAACTATATTTATCACAACTGCCTAATCTTCATTCCTTCTTTAAAATAATTTTATCTAGATACTTTCTCTTAAGAGAAACTTCAAGCTAGGCCTCCCTCTGAAACATTCCTTTTTCTCCCTTTAATTACCAGCAGTCAAATGCCTTTATTCTGAAAACCTCCCTTCCTATAAAGGACAGGAAAGTTAACTTCTTAATGGCTGTTCCCTATTAAAAGCCTCATTTGCCCAAAGTCAGATGACAGGCAAAGATTGTTATGTCAATCTTACTAAAGATAGTTCTTCTTGGTCGTGTAGCAAAGGCACTACAAGTACCATTACTTTCTCCAAATCAGTGTTCCTAGCAGAATTCTACAATTTACAATATTACTGAAATTTGTCCTCCCCGCTCCCACCAAGGATGCTTGGTGGAATGATGAAGTGAAAAAGACAGTGCTTGAAAAAACAAGGCATATAAAAGAATGTTGTAAAAAACAAGGTTGACAAAAACATATTATATAACATACATAAAGAGAAAAAGAAGTAATCAAACAAAGAAAGGAACCATTAAGGTTACTTTTACACAGAAAAATACAGAGCAATGTTGACGGAAATAAATATTTGTTCTGGAAATGGGTAAAAATGGCTAAGTAAAAAAGCCTTCAGCAAAGTTAAATTAACTAAAAAGTGATGAAATTATTTATGACTAAACTAACAAAAGAAAAGGCAGAAACGAATTTATGGAGATCTCCATGGGAATAATAGTGATATTTCTAAGAACAGAATTGAAACAAATGCAATAAATGTTAGCATCCAGGAACCACAGTATAAAAGGATATTTATGTAAACCCTTAGTTTTCCTTTTTCTTTCATTGCTGCATAACTGATAATTTAGCCTCTTCTTTTGAAAGAGTTGATTTGTCTCAATTTGCCCTTTGCCTCTGTAATTACATTTTTATTTATACTGTTTTTCACTGACTGTATGACAACTAGCTAACCAAGTAACAGATTTTTGCTTCCTTACCTTCCGTGGCAGGCAACCATGGTACCATGCATGGCTGCACAACTGTTCAGTACCAAGTTTCAACTCTTCCTCCAGCTCCTTTCTTAGTCTCTCATTGACCAATTCCATGTTCTTCAAGAATTAAATCTCCTAGAAAAATCAGGAGAGCTTGTAAACATCATTGGCTATATCCCCAACAAGCTCAAAAAAGCAGAGAAGAATCCCCTATATCAGAGGTCCCCAACCCCTGGTCTGTGGACCGGTACCGGGCAGCATGCCAGAAACCGGGCTGCACAACAAGCAAAACCCCATCCGCGGGATGCAGGCAGCACACAGAACCATGCCCCCTCCGGTCTGCGGAAAAACCTCTCTCCACGTAACCGGTCCATGGTGCCCAAAAGGTTGGGGACCTCTGCCCTATATCCCAATTTTCCTTGGACGGGTAAAGGATGCTTAAGCAATCACATGACACAAACAGAACAGATTCCTGGAAAAAGCTGCTGATGCAGTTTGACTCAGTTGAAGCCATCATGGTGTACTGGTTGAAGAAATGAGGCTTAAATTTCTGCGCAGTCATGAAATTCATTAAATGGCCTTGAAGTGTCACACCTGGCCTACTCAACCTCAAGGGATTATTATCAAAGTAAAAAATAGCAGAAGGAATGTTTACCTCAGGAAAGAAAACCATAAATGCTGCAAGTATAAATGAGGCATTTCAAATACTTTTGGAGGCAGTATCCATTTTAAAAAGCCAGAAAGTACGTGGAGCAGCTTTTCCCAGTCTCTGCTCCGCAGATACCCCAGGATCAACAGTCCTAGAATTTCTGGCCACATGATACAAGACCATGTATCAGGAAGGTTAGGGGAGGGGAGGGGAGGGGAGGAGAGGAGAGAAGCAAAATCCTCCACACAACATGCAACAGCAGGGCACACATTATCCCAAATCCAATACAAACACAAGCAAATCCCACAAAAGCAGCATCACATCAAATTGGGGATTTTATCTTGTGGTAACAAGGAAAGAACAGGGCACAGATAGTCACAGGAAGATGAAATGCCGGGCTAGAGGCAGAGGTGGGATTCAAATATGTGAACAACCGGTTTTGGAAGAGACTTGGAGGTTTTCTAGTCCAATCCCCTGCTCAAGCAGGAGACCCTATGCCATTCTGGATAAATGGCTGCAATCTCTTCTTGAAAATCTCTAATGATGGAGCACCCACAATTTCCAGAAGTTGTCCCACTGATTAATTATTCTTCCAATTAACCATATCAGCATTCTGTTCCATCAGTCTATGTTCCTCTCTCAGTTGCTTTATTTTCTCAAAGAGAATTTCCCCACAAAACTAACATTCGATGACACACCTTAGCATCCTAAATCCCTTCCATCCATAAGGGATGCCTGGGAAATTCTGCATATATTTGTATACCCTATATAGATGGTCCATATATTACATAGATGTTCTATATATAATTTATATCCTTAATAACTACAAAGAGATAGCTCTAAATCATAACTCAGACAACAATCATATTAATTACAGAGCAAAAACTGAACAGAATTTTAATCTTCATACAATGATTCTAACCAGTAAATAAGTACTGCAGCTTCATTGTTACCTCTACTGCATGACAAACTACCAAGAAAAGGCCATTAGGGAATTCTCTGCATGTTATTGTTCTTATGCTACAATTTAATATGAAGACATGCTTTTGCTCTCCCTAAGTTCATACTGAGTCACTCAAGGACTGGGTAAGAATGTAAAATGACTGTGGACAAGTATGACCTCATAATACGAGGGCAATTCGGAAATAAAACTCTGTTTGGTTATCAATGACAGACACTCACAGATACAGAACTTTTATTATACACACTAGAAAACTACAACATTACATTACTTTTTGACATAATCGCCATTCAAATTGAGGCACTTGTCATAACGTCTTACAAGGTTTGAAATTCCTTAGTAGTAGTCGCTCGGCTACTACTACAACACCACACCAGAAGTGGTGCCATATAAAATCCCGCCAAATATCACTTAAATCTTTAGTAGATTTGAAACAAGAAATATTGAATATTCTGGGTTTTATTATAATGAATTGGATTCAGAAATAGAATTGGTTAAGGATGTATGATAAAATGGGCTTAAAATATATAAGAATCGATTTTATTGGAAACATGGGAGACAATTTGGGTTAGAAATGTAAAATTTACTCAAGCTCAAAATTTAAGGGAAAATTTTTATAAAATGTTTTATAGGTGGCATTTGGATTCTCAAAAATTGTCCTGCATGTATTCTAATTTATAACCTAAGTGTTGGAGATGTGGAAACTTAGATGTAACCTATTTTCATATTGGGTGGACATGCAGGGAAGTAAAAACATTTTGGATTAAGATATGGTGGAATATTCAAAACATTTTTAAGAAAAGGACAACGTTTAAACTGCAGATATTTTTGCTGGGTATTATGGAAGATTTGGATACAAAAGAAATGGACTTGATGTTGAACCTGATAATGGCTGCAAGACTACTAGTAGTTCAATGTTGGAAAATGGAATGTTTGCCCACTATAGAAGAACGGTCACTTAAAGTCTCAAATTTAGCAGAAATGGCCAAGATCTCCGCTTATGTGAAGGACTATTCACAAGAAAGATATATTTCGGTTTGGAGAAGATGGATAGATTATATTGAGAGTAAATATGAGACTAAAAAGTTTCCTTTGGTTTTTGAGTGAATCTTAGTTAATGTTGTTTATATGTTATAATAGCTTACTTATTTTTATTTCTATATTAATATGATGTTATAATTATTGTGCTTAGTACTAGTATATTTGCTTAAAAGAGAGTTAAAGGTTGTTATAGATTGGTTATTTTAATAGTTGATTAATGTTAGATAAGTATGATTATTGTATTGTTAACCCTGTGATGGGCTCTGGGAAGTGGGGGGGGAGGGAGGGGGGAGTGGAAGGGTGGGTTTTGGGGAGGGGGGAATTATATTGTAAAACTTTTATAAAATTTTCAATAAAAAAAAANTCAGAAGTCTACTCTGAAACGTTACAAAAACTCAGAAGAGCCATCCATAACAAGCATTGGGGCATGCTGACTTCCAGTGTGGTATTGGTTCACAATAATGCTTGTCCGTACACCGCTAGATGCACCCAAGAACTTTTGAAGCAGTTCCGTTGAGATGTTTTTGATCACCCCCCCATAGCCCAGATTTGGTGCCGAGCGACTACTACTAAAGAATTTCAAACCTTGTAAGACCTTATGATAAGTGCCTCAATTTGAATGGTGATTATGTCATAAAGTAATGTAATGTTGTAGTTTTCTAATGCATATAATAAAAGTTCTGTATCTGTGAGTGTCTGTCATTGATAACTAAACAGAGGTTTATTTCCAAATTGTCCTCATAATTGACCTCTGATGATGTTTACTGTCACTTTCTTACAAGGGAGCAGTTGACACTGTATTTGCTGCTCTGAAACTGAGCAGAATATCACTTATCTTGTATGGCATACAAGCTGCTGGCATATGCAAATTATATAGACCTTCCTGAATCACTTTGATGCAACAGGGAAACTGGCAGTGTAACTTCTGGATCATGATGTTGTGTGTTCAATTGTGCAGCACATTCACTGGAGTTTAGAATATAGAAGTGAGTTCCTGGATTGCCACCAAGCTGTTGCTTGAGCAGCATTATAGGTCTTGCCCTGCAGGGACAAGTTAATAGTGCCCACCTAGGACAAAATTAACAATTAACAGTGGAGGAAACACATGGAAAATAAAGCTATTCAGTTTCCAAACTGCACTTTTTATGTACATAAAGAAATACTAATATGCTACAAATTTTCCTTTCTAAACAAGCCAGTCGAGATTTTTTAGTAAACTTGTCTCCCATTTTAAAAGTATATTACCATCATCAACAGCACCATTTTTCAGAGGATTCTAAAAAATAAAGTAGTTCTATCAAAAGCTGAGCTATCAAAGCAATCTAAAGGAATCTTTTTTTAGAGTTCTCCAAACATATCAGAACATTCCAGCTAGCTACTGATATAGTTATTTTCACCAACATTCAAGGATAAATTAGATTTCATCTTCAATTTGCTTCACGGTAGGTGTGCACACAAAGAAGAAACATTCCTTTCAAAAATAGCAAATGAAAAAGCTGAAAAATATTACTCCAAGAAAAGGGGTACAAGTGAGTTGGTAATATTACTATCTCACGGATAACCAGCCTGGTACAAAGCTAGTTTCTGTCTGAGTTGAGAGAAATCTATTTTTCCTGAGTTCAGGGGGAAAAACTAACTTATACCAGAAGACAACATACTTTCACTCTCTCAACAGGTTCAAAAGTCCACAGAAACCCAACAATTAAATCTAAGTATTTGCTTAGAGAACATAAATTGAATTCAGAAAATCAGCTGCTTTCTAACAGGGGAGGGGTAAAATATTAAAAATAAAACAAACAACAGGTGCTGCTTGTCTTCTTGCAGAAAAAAAAAAAAACATCAGCTCCAGAAGCATTCCTTAGTATTTCAGGAACATTTACCATTTTGCACAAGGGGGAAAAAAAAAACAACTCCCTGTATTAGCCTCCAGTCTGCCACCCAGCATGTGCTTCTGAACAACCAATGGAAAATTGTTCCTTTTGAAAAGAACTGGAAAGGCAATGACAGGATTCAAGCTAATCACTTAGGAGAGGAGGAAATAGTGTCAAATAAATGATGAGGGAGGAGAGGAAGCAGGATCTTCTAATAGAAAGGAAATGCTTTATGTGACTCTCTTTCCCAGGTTTGAACATTGTTCCCAACATAAGAGCAAAATCAACAAATATGTAGAAAAGACATAACTAGAGGATTTAAATGAGCTCAACCCTTAAGCAGCACCAATTAGGGAGCGATGACAAATATACACACATACATTGTTTCAAGCCATATTTATCTCTTCCTGAGAAGCACTTACAGAATACAGAATAACAGAGTTGGAAGGGACCTTGCAGGTCTTCTAATCTAGTCCATCTCCCTGCTCAAGCAGGAGATCCTATATTTAAAATAGTTATTTTGCTAAAATATATAATTGGAATAATGTTCTCTTGAAACCAGTGAGTTTCTCTTCTAACCTAGCCCCTGCAGTTGCATCTTGAAG